GAGCCCCCCCCCCCAAGAGGCGGCAGCCTTCCTTCCGCGGACGGGGAACGGTATGACGTCCTGGGACAGGCGCCCCCGGCGGCGGAGACGGTTATCTTAGACCGTTCCCCGCCCGCCGATCCTTGGCGTGACACAAACGGGGCCTGGCAGAAACGGGTCCTGGAGGAGCTTTCGTCAACAACCACGCCGAAGGCTGAAGACCGCCCAGGTCCTTGGTGCTGGCGACAAGGGCGCACCCCTCAAAGAAACAAGACGACCAGCCCGCGGCCCATCACAAACACGAGGACGAGGACAAGGCCAACGACGACGAGGACGAGGACGAGGACGACGACGACGAGGACGAGCACGACGACGACGACGACGACGAGAACCACGACGACGACGACCACGACGACGAGGACGACGACGACGACGAGGACGACGACGACGACGACGACCACGACGACGACGACGACGACGACGACGACGACGACGAGAACCACGACGACGACGACGACGACGACGAGGACGACGACGACGACGACGACCACGACGACGACCACGACGACGACGACGAGGACGACGACGACGACGACGACGACGACGACGACGACGACGATGACGACGACGACGACGACGACGACGACGACGACGACGACGACGACGACGACGCGGAGGCCGTCCCCAGGGTCAACTGTTCACTCTGCGCCGCTCTGCGGACGGCACCCGGGGCCCAAGGGGAGTCCCAGGAGCCCGAGCGCGGCGAGAGCGAGCTCCAGGGCACGCAGCCGTCAGAACCTCACTGACTACCTACCAGACCACCCCAACCCAACCCGAAGACCCGAATTTCGGGTTGGGGGGGGTACGGGTTCCATACGTGTTTTCTCGATGTTCCCCGACCCCCCCCAACTGGAAATGGAGGTCAAATGGAGGCCTTCAGGTTGGGTTGGGGTGGTTTGGTGAGTGGTGACTTACGGGGGCTCTCTGGGGAACTTCGGACTGACCATCGCGACCGCCGAGAATTACCATTTAGTGGCACTTCGTGGCCGCTGGCGGCCTGTAGCGGCCGTTTGGTGGCACTTGCTGGCGCTCAGTGGCCTCTAGCGGCCCCGAAGAGTACCACTTCGCGGCCACGTGAAGAGCCCCCCCACTCAGAATCCGACGGCGCGAAGAGACGGCCGCATCGCAAGAGAAAACACGACCACACAAGACGCAAAAAACTAACACACGAACAAAAGAAAACGCGCCCGAGGCCATAGACCCCATCTTCAGACTGCAATACACGAGCCGGATCGATCCGCGAGGGTCCCGGGGTCCGAAACTGGGAGAAAGCGCCCGGCGTAAAAAAGTTGCGGCGCCCGGATGTCAAGGTCTTCTCCATGGCATGGCAACTTCCTTACGGCGGGCTCGTGTCGCTTCGACCCCAACATTGGTTCACGGCACCGCGGGGGTCGTTCACCTTTGAACGATCGGCCGTTTCCGAAACGTCAGATCGCTCAACATCGACCGATTTTTGGTCGCCGGCGGCGTCCAACGCTGAACGCCAGCGGCGGGGTCGCCGCCGATCGACACGACGCGAACCTACCGTGGAAGACCCCCCCCCCTCGACATGGCCACGTCGCGCGCCGCCGACCGGTCCCGGGGCCAGAGGAAGGCATCGAGGGCCAGGCAGCTTGTCAAAAGCTCTAGGACCCGTAAATCCTTGGGACCCTTTCTTCTTTTTTTTTCCGCACGCAGCCCGACCGATCCGCTGCCCCTCAAGAGGGCTGTCCTGACCAACATCCAAACATCCACAAGCAGTGCATCCACGAAGGCAAAAGCCCTGCACAGACCCTGGACACGGGCACAGAGGGGGGGAAGGAGGAGGACGAGGAGGAGGAGGAGGAGGAGGAGGAGGAGGAGGAGGAGGAGGACGAGGAGGAGGAGGAGGAGGAGGGAAGCGGGAACGCCCTCCCAAATACCTGGAGCAGCGCTCAGGCCAACCTGCCATCCTCCGGACCCTGTCTCCTTCTCCGCCATGCAGGGTCATTCCCGGGGGCCGCGAGGCCTCGATAGGGCCAGCAGGGTGGGTGGGCTCGGGGTTTCGTGACACCCCCGCCGCACACGGCATCTCGCCGCTCTGCCTCCGGTCCCATCGTCGACGATGCTCGTTCGCTGCTGCACCGCAGGCAGCTCTGGGGGCGAAGCGCGTAGCCTCTGTCTGCTTTCGCTCGAGACTCGATCCAAAGCAAACCCTCCGGATCCGGCCTTCCTTCCTGGCGACGCTCCCCGAATACCACCACCGCCCCTCGCCCTGACCCTGCTGCGCGCGGCCGACCGGTCCCCGGTGCCAGAGGAGGGCCTCGGGGGCCCGACAACTGTAGGAGAGCTCCAGGACCCATAAACCCTCCGGACCCTTTCTCCCCAGACATCCGGCTGCTCCAATCTTGTTGGGGTGCGCGGACCCCGGAGGTCCCGACCACTTCCCCGGGACCGGCTTTCCGTCCCGAGTCGTTTTTTGACGCTCCCGCGGCCCAGCGAGGGCCCCTGGAGGCCGAAAGCTGCCAAAATCCCGCCGCTCCAACTTTTTTTGGAGCGTCCCCTGAGATCCGACGTTGCAAAAAAAATTGCAGCATCGCAAAAATCACGCCCGGAGACCCGGACCTCATCTTTCCGCGTCATGTTTCGAGCCCGATCGATCTGTGAGGGTCCCGGGGCCCGAAATCAAGCGAAAACGCCCGTTGCAAAAAAATTGCAACGCCAGGATCTCAGGGTCGGATCTTAAGGTCCTTCATCCAGGAATCTAGGAAAGACCACATGCGAACCCGACCCCTGCAGGTCAGCTTTCGCTGGGGGTCAGAACTTGACGGCTGTCTGCAGCCGAGTGAACCCCAGCGGGGGTGCCCGATACCCCAGCGCCCATCGGGGTCCGCAAGTGGTCGCGACCTTCTTGGACAAACACCACCACTGGGGAAACCAGAAGGTACCGATACCGCTACTCCCAGGACCTCTCCCGGGGTGCGTTCTGACCAGGATTTCGAGGCGAATCCAGCGGTGACAACAAGAGCCTCCGAGGAGGCCGGAAAAGAGGAAAACGGGCGAAAGCAGTGGTATCGGTAGTTTTTCCTCCTCTGAGGCACCACCACCCCTCGCCCTGGCCGTTGTGCGCCGCCGGCCGCCTCCAGGACAGCCGGCAGAGCTTCGGATCCAGAAGCCTCGCTGGCGCCCGCGTCGGGGTCCCTCGGGAAGAGCTCCCGGGCCTGGTCCCTGGCGCCGAACCTCGGCGGCCGGACGAAAGGGGGGGAGATCGCAAAGGGGGGGGGTCGGCAGCGAATCAGCACACGGGCTTACGGCAGGTTCGTGTCGTGGCGGCCCCAGCGGTGGTTTCTGACACCGCGTGGATCGTTCAGCCTTGAACGAGCGGCGGCTTTCCGATCGCCCGATCGTTCCATGTAGGCCGATTCTGGGCCACTGGCGGCGTTCAACCTGGAACGCCCGCGGCGGGGTCTGCTCCGGTCGACACGGCGCGAACCTACCGTAGCTGCTCTGGCGCCTCCCGTCGCCGGGAGGCGCCGCTGTATCGAGGAGAGGCGCCCGGGCGGCGTGGCCGAAGCCAGCTGCACGCCGCAGACCTCGTGCCAAATCCCTTCCCCGGTTTCCGCCCGACCCGAGAACCACATCATGGAGCCCCTGGAGAACCTGCCCCGGTCCGACGGGTACCTGCAGAGGAGCTGAGGAGATCGGCATGCCCTGACATCCTGGCGTCGCATGTGCTCGACGTCTGAAGCTCCCGTCGAGACGTGTTACCATGTGACAACTTTTTCCGCGAAGCCGGATCTCAGGGCGCACTGCATACACGGACAATCTCCGAGGTCCGCGCGGACTCCTCGGGTCGGCGCCGTACCCCTACGGCGGCATCTCGGGAGCCGCCCCGGCGCGCCCCCAGCGCGCTTCGCGCGCAAGGGAGGGGGACCCAGCGCTGATCCAAGGAACCCGCGCGGACCTCACGAAATGCGTCTCTCGTCTTTGGAGAAAACATACACACACACACACACACACACACCGTGGAAAAGCAAACACACACACGCACTTTCTGTGGAAAAAATACAGACCGTGGACACACACTCACACACTCTGTGAAAAAATCACACAGCCTGTGGAAAAAAACAGCGTGTGCGTTTTGTCCACGGAGCCTGGGGCGCAGCCGGAGCGGTCCCTGGCCGTAACGGCGCGCCTGCTCTGAGGGCCCCAGTATGCCCCCTATCCTGCCATCGAGCTCGACACCCTCCTCCTCCTCCTCCTCCTCCTCCTCCTACCCCTCCTCCTCCTCCTCCCCCTCCTCCTCCTCCCCCTCCTCCTCCTCCTCCCCTCCTTCTCCTTCACCCCCTCCTCCCCCTCCTCCTCCTCCTCCCCTCCCCCCCTCCCTCCTCCTCCTCCTCCTCCTCCTCCCTTCCTCCCTCCTCCTCCTCCCCTCCCCCTCCTCCTCCTCCTCCCTCCTCCTCCTCCTCCTCCTCCTCCTCCTCCTCCCCTCCTCCTCCTCCCCTCCTCCTCCTCCCCTCCTCCTCCTCCTCCACCTCCTCCTCCTCCTCCTCCTCCTCCTCCTCCTCCTCCTCCTCCTCCTCCTCCCCCGAGGATCGGCGGAGCCCTCGGGAAGCAGGCCACGGGCTGCCGATCCCCTGCCGCCTCCTCTTGTCTGTTTTCTCTGTCGAGCGCGCACCGCCGGACCCCCGCGGGCCGCGGGCGCCTCCCGGCAGACTGGGAGAAGATACTTGCAAGGAAGTGTCCATGTGTATGTATATACATCTACACAGATAAATGCTTGTGTGAATATATATGTATATACATATATTTATATCGATGCATATATATATACACACAACTACATGTATATGTGTACACGATAACGGAGAGAAGCCCCAATGATCATCTTTTTAGGGCTACAGGGCCATGGAGCTGTAGGGCCACAGGACCATAGGGCTATAGGCCTATGGGGCCCCCGGGCACCTGGGCGTGCCGCCGAAATCGGCGCCATACCTCACCTAACCATGTGAATCCGCCAGGACCCCTACAGAGGCAAACTCTGATTGGGGAATATATATATATATATATATATACAAGTACATGACTGCAGTGGCGCTTCGAGCCATGCACCTTGGCCCTTGAAGCTTGGCATGCCGGCGGAGAGGCAGGACGGCAAAACAGGCAATGCAGCGATGACTCCTGGTGGCCTTTTCCGGCACCGCCGTCATATATGACCTTATAAGAATGTGCTTCGTCATCCTTCTCTCCTGTTTCCTCTTCCTCTTCCTCATTTTCGCCCTACCCGCGAATTATGCCCCAACCTCCTCAGCTCTCTTTGCGGAGGCTCCTCCTTGGAGAGCCTCGTAGCACTCTTTGCGGAGGCTCCTCCTTGGAGAGCCTCGTGGGGGCCTCACGACGGTGTTTAACGGCCCATTTGGGGCCGTTTGGGGGCCTCCCGCGCGCCTTCTGGGGGCCTCTGGGGGCTTACTCGGGCCACCCTGCTTCCAATCGCGGTCTTCCTGAACGACCGGGTCACGATCTGGTATGCGTCGGGGGGCACACTGGGGCCATCTCGGCCGTCATGGGGCTCTCTTCGGGCCATCTTGGAACCCTGTTGCGCCGTCTTGGGGCTCTCTTGGACTGCCTGGAAGCCCTTTTGGATAGTTCTGGCGCGATGTCGGGCCGCCTGGGCGGTCTCGGACGCCCAGCAGACCGAAGAACAGGGCATTCCCATAATCATGCAAAAATCTTGGAAATCCCATGTTTCTTCTGCGCTTCGAAAGCATATTGGGGTGTCTTCTTTGGATCGCCTTCGGCCGTCTGGTAGGTGTCTGGGGTCTCTTGGGGCCCTCGGGGGCCGTTCGGCCGCCCTCCTGACCAACTTGGGCCCGTTGCCTAGGCCGGCCGGGGCGTCCAGGAGCTATGGGCAGCCTGGGCGGCCTCCTGCAGGCGCGTCCAGGGGTCCCCCCGGGCCACGGGTCCTGCGGGTCCGGTGGAGGAGGAGGACGAGGAGGAGGAGGAGGAGGAGGAGGAGGGAGCCAACCAGGATGTCTGAGAGACACCTGCAGAAGGGTGCCAAGGGGCCTGGGGCCACCGGGGGCGTGCGTTTGTGGTACGTGTGGGCGCGAGGGCCCGCTCAGCCCTCGGTCCCAAACCCAGGGCTGGGCTCTTTCGTCGCGGACCCCCTGTTACCGCGCAGGGGCCCGGAACAGCGGGGCAAAAAACGCAGGAGCGAAAAGCTATAAACAAAGGGAATGTTTTGAAAGAGCGAGAAAACAAAACAAAAACAACAGACTTCAGTTTGGCAAAACGACTTCGGTGAAAGCTGCCGGGGGCACTCCACTGGTGTGCGCGGCACAGCATTCTGAACTCAACCAGGCGGAATAGCTAACCGACGTCGACAAGATGCTGGCAGCATCCGACAAAACACGCGTCGACTGCCGAAACCGATGGGGGGAATGCACCGGCTCACTGCGAGTGCCAGTGCCGAGTGACCCGGCGCAGAATTTCTCAATCGCCTTGTCTGGGCGGGCGTTCTCTCAATGTCCTCTCGTTCCAGGAGATCCCCGACGTTGCGGAACAGCTGCCGCATCGTGAGCATCACGACCAGAGCCCTGGGCCCGCTCCTCCTGCCGCAGTCTGCGAGCCGGATCGACCTGCGAGGGCCGCGGGGCCCGAAAATGAACGAGGCCGACCGTTGTGGAAAAAATGCGACGCCAGGATCCCAGGGTCAGGGGGCGGAGGTGGCGGCGGCGACGGCGGCGGCGGCGGCGACGGGGCGGCGGCGGCAGCGGCGACGGCGACGGCGACGGCGACGGCGACGGCGGCGACGGCGACGGCGGACGGCGACGGCGACAAAGACAAAGGCAAAGGCAAAGGCAAAGGCAGAGGCAGAGGCAAAGACAAGGACAAAGACAAAGAAAAAGACAAAGACAAAGACAGAGACCAAGACAAAGACAAAGACGAAGACAAAGACGAAGACAAAGACAAAGACGAAGGCGACGACGACGACGACGACGGGAGAGGGGCACATGGGAAGGTCCATCGGCGGCAGCGTGCACGCCCGGGACAGCTTCGCCGAGCACGACGGGCGCCGGCTGGGCAAGTCGGGAATGCTTGCCCTGTCGTCGTCGTCGTCGTCGTCGCCGTCCTCGTCGCCGTCCTCGTCACCGTCGCCGTCGTCCTCATCGTCGTCGGCGTCGTCGTCACCGTCGTCGTCGTCGTCGCCGTCATCGTCGCCGTCGTCGTCGCCGTCGTCCTCGTCGTCGTCGCCGCCGTCGTCGTCGCCGTCGTCCTCGTCGTCGTCGCCGCCGTCGTCCTCGTCGTCCTCGTCGTCGTCGCCGCCGTTGTCCTCGTCGCCGTCGCCGTCGTAGCCGTCGCCGTCGCCGTCCTCGTCGTCTGATCTCACCGTCGTCCTCCTCGTCGTCGTCGAGCCTGCTGCTGCCTGGCTTGGACGGGGCGGGGTCCCGCTGGAGCGCAGCGCTGCCCGCACTGGACCGGAGGCTGCGCTTCGGCGGGCGCCTCCCGGGGGAGGGCCCGAGGCTCTCACGCCCTCGGCCCTCGCGCCTCGCCTCGGCTCGCCTCTCTGCACTCGCCTTGCGCCTCGCCTTGCCTCGCCTCGCCTCACGCCTCGCGCCTCGCGCCTCGCCTCGCCTCGCCTCGCCTCACGCCTCCGCCTCGCCCCGCTGCCTCGCGCCTCCACACCAGTACGGCAAGATCCATCCACAGATGGTCTCCGTAGGGCAGCGTACATGTTGTTCCTCGTTTGGGGGATTTGCATGCACACGTCGTGCTTTTCATGCGAACTCCCTCTTGAACTGGGCACACAGCATGATGACTGTTTGGAGACATTGCGTACTGTGTGTACAGATGCTGTTATCAGATACTTGATATGCGCCCTGAGGAAGCCAACGAGAAGCCCCAAGAAGGCATGCGGGCGGTAGAACTGGGACTTCGGTGGAGCCCTCTATGGGGCACGAGGCGCTGTACTGGAAGGGGGTGACGCATGCGGGCGGTAGCACTGGGACCTCCGGTGGAGCTCTCTAGGGGGCCACGACACGCTGTATTGTTTGGGGGTGGCGCATGCGGGCGGTAGCACTGGGACCTTCGTTGGAGCTCTGTGGGGCAACGAAACGCTGTACTGGGTGAGAGTGACGCATGCGGGTTGCAGCCCTGGGACCTTCGGTGAAGCTCCCTATGGGGCCACGAAACGTGTAAGGGGCGCAAGGGATGGGAGGAGCGGGAGGAGCCAGAAGAGGAGAAGAGGGAGGAGGAGAGGGAGGAGGAAGGAATGAGGGACGCGGGGCGCTGCCTCTTCAAAACGAGGACCCAACACCACAAGATGGTTGGGAAAAACATCCTAGAGGCCGCCTCCTGAGCCTCCATGAGGCGCCCAAGAAGCCCCACAACAGACACGGAGGACGAGGAGGGCAAATCAGCAACAACTAAGCGCAAGCCGCAAGACGGAAGTCACAAACAACATTCACGAAATCGGAAGCCGCACATGCTCTCTTCTGGGGGTCGGCGGAATGAATCAGCCCCTTGGATACCCCATGCGCGAGGGATTCACACGGGAGCTATCGTTCGCAAGCTCGCCACATAGGATTGTAATTGCGAACAAGGACACAATGGTAAATCCATCAACAGTTCCATATTGAACGTCAACCGAATGATGAAGAACTGTTCCCATATACTCGCTCTTGCTACTGACTCACGATACAAGAAAATGTCCCGTGAATCCCGCTTGCGACAAATGTAGATGTCCTGTCATGTGACCGCTTATGCACACATGAATCCATTTTGTGAGGGGAGATGCAACTAGCTTACTTTCGTGGCCGATGTGCAACCACGTTCCCACCGTGCGAAATGCCAAACATTTCAGTTGCTCTGAGTACGCTGTCTGACCATACGGTCTGGCGAGACGACATGTTTGATCGAATTTGAGTACTGATCATTAGTGGCGACCGTGAAATTAATCTAGTTGTGAGGGCAGTTTGACAACCTTCCAATGTGGGAGGTGCACAATGAATTCGGTTCGCTGAGGATGTGCAAGACAATGTGTTGCACGTGCGTCCCAACTATATATATATATATATATATATACATATATGTACGCATATACATATGCTATACATCGAAATCTCAGCAACGGAAAATACTTCATACACAAGCAGAAGAATACTCACCTGGAAAGCACCAAGACGGAAGAACTGACATCAACAAGGGGTCCCGTTCGCTTGACTGTTACACTCAGATTCCGCGCGTGGCAAATTTGAAATTCGATTCCTTGTGTGAGGCATGTACGCTGCAACACGGTTGTGGTGCTTCACTTCTTCGCAATGAAATCACCTTTGCGATGAATGTATGATTGTATTCCTTCCGTTGGCGGATTACATCTAGATCCATGTTTGTTAAATGATGGTGATGTGTGTCTCGTTGTGGCCAATGCAAACAATGAGGGCCGTTGTTTTTATCACCTCGAGTGCACAAGGCACGTGCTGGCATGAATCACCTGGGACGGACACGCGTAAGGAACCATTGGCTAAGGAATCCAGGGTCTGAAAGCCGTTGCAACACCAACTGGGACTAGGCCATGGATATCACCGCCGACCTCATCAGATAAGCAACTATTCAGGGTCTGCAACCTACCGGGCACATTCCTTCACGAACGCCCCCACCGTACTTGGATTTCCTTCGTGGGAAATTCTGGAGATGGCATAAATAGCATGTGTTGTATGGAGATGTGCGTTTATTATGTGTATGCTGGTCCGCATTGCTTCGCTTACTCAATGTCTTCAACTCTTCAGTTTTGAATTCCCAATCATCCTGTGGCGCTGTGTCTTCGTTTTGAAGAGACAGTGCCCCGCGTCTCCTCTCCTCCTCTCCTCCTCCTCCTCCTCCTCCTCCTCCTCCTCCTCCTCCTACTCCTCCTACTCCTCCTCCTCCTCCTCCTCCTCCTCCTCCTCCTACTCCTCCTCCTCCCTCCTCCTCCCATCATCATCAAAGCATCATCATCGTCATCAGCATCATCGTCATTGTCATCGTCGTCATCATCATCAGCATCATCATCATCATCAGCATCATCATCGTCATCAGCATCATCATGAGGATAATCAGCATCATCATCATCAGCAGCACCATCATCATCAACATCATGGCCGTCACCATCGTCACCAGCATGATCAGCATCACCATCATCGTCATCATCAACGCCGTTATCGTCACCATTATCGCCATCAGCTTCGGCACACCCGTCACACGTTTCGTGGCCCCATAAGGAGCTCCACCTAAGGCCCCATTGGCTGCGTCGACATGCGTCCCAGCCACTCAGTTCTGCACACACACACACACCTCACACGTTTCGTGGCCCCATGGGGAGCTCCAGTAACAGGCCCCAGTGGCTGCGCCCATATGCGTCCCAGCCTTTGATTTCGGCACACCCCTCAGACGTTACGTGGCCCCATATGGAGCTCCGCCGAAGGTTTCAATGGCACAGGCAGCATGCGCCCGACGCCCATTTTGGCGCACCCTTCACACGGTTCGTGGCCCCATAGGGAGCTCCACCGAAGGCCCTCGTGGCACAGGCCGCATGCGCCCGACGCCCATTTCGGCACACCACTCACACGATTCGTCACCCCATGGGAAGCTCCACTGAAGGCCCCAGTGGCACAGGCCGCATGCGCCCGACGCTGCTTTCGGCACACCCCTCACACGATTCGTAGCCCCATAGGAAGCTCCACCTAAGGCCCCAGTGGCGACGTTCCCGCGCGTCCGCGCCACCAATTTCGGCACACCCCTCACATTGTTCGTGGCCCCGTAGGGAGTTGCACCGAAGGCCCCAGTTGCACAGGCAGCATGCGCCCGACGCCTACTTTGGCACACACCCCATACGATTCGTGGCCCCATAGGAAGTTCCACAGAAGGCCCCATTGGCAGGGTCCGCATGCGCCCGGCGCCTATTCTGGCACACCCCTCACATGGTTCCGGGCCCCATAGGACGCTCCACATAAGGCCCCAATGGCACAGGCCGCATACGCCCGACGCCCATTTTAGCACACCCCGCACACGGTTCGTGGCCTCGTAGGAATCTCCACCGAAGCCCCAGAGGCAAGGTCTGCATGCGCCCGACGCCCAATTGGCAAACTCTTCACACGGTTCGTGGCCCCATAACTACCTGCACCGAAGGCCCCAGTGGCAGGGTCCGCATGCGCTCGACGTCCAATTTACACCCCTCACATGGTTCGTGGCACCATAGGGAGCTCTACCCCTCACATGGTTCGTGGCACCAAAGGGGGCTCCACCGAAGGCCCCAGTGGAAGGGTCTGCATGCGGTCGCGTACCGCCCCTGTTTACCCACTACCCGCCCCGGGCGCTACGACTTCCCCAATTTTAGCACACCGCTCGCACGGTCAATGGCCTCATAGGGCGCTCCACCGAGGGCCCCAGTGGCAGGGTCCGCATGCGCTTGACACGCATTTTGGCACATCCCTCCCAGGGCTCGTGGCCTCGCAGGAAGGCCGACCGAAGGCTCCGGCGTCAGGGTCGGCGGGCGCCCGACGCCCCTCTTGGCGGGCTCTTCACACGGCTCGTGGCCCCGCATGGAGCCTCGTGCGCAGATCGCGCCCTAGAGGGGGCGTCGCCTATGGTCTGTGTAAACGGAGGCTCCCGGAGATGTCCAGGCAGTTCGGATCAGGATGAGGGGGATCATCCTTCTTCTCCTCGTCGCGATTGCCCGAATACTGGATATGTACATGACTGTTGAGTCCGTTTCGCACTGAAGCCATCCGTTGCTAGTAATCTGAACCACCGCGGCGCGTGGCCTGGCCCCACCCGGTGTTTAGGACTCCTAAGCGAGGGGTGTCCTCAGAGCATTGTCTTCGACCTGGAATGGACTCGACAAGCCATAAACATTGATGTTGTCTGTTCCGCAAACTTTTCCTTATCCGTTCATTCATTGTCCTCCTCCTCCTCCTCCTCCTCCTCCTCCTCCTCCTCCTGCTCGTCCTCCTCCTGCTCGTCCTCCTCCTCGCCCCCCTCCACCATCCTTGCTGACTTCCCAGGAGGTCCCTGGGGCCCCAGCAAGGCGGAGGAGAGGGAGGATAAGGAGGATAGATGGATTGCGACAAGACAAATTATGGCAGCTAAAACGTTTTTCCCAACCGTCCTGTGGTGTTTCGGTCCTCGTTATGACAAGACAGCGCCCCGCGTCTCATTCCTCTCCTCTCATCATTCCCCTCTTCCCCCTCCTCCCATCATCATCATCATCATCATCATCATCAACATCATCATCATCATCATCATCAACAACAACAACATCATCAGCATCATCAATAGGATCATCATGATCATCATCATCATCATCATCATCATCATCATCATCATCATCATCATCATCATCATCATCACCATCAGCATCATCAGCATCACCATCATCATCATCACGATCCGCATCATCGTCCTCATCAACATCATCGTCATCATCACCATCATCGTCATCGTCATCGCCGCCAGCTTCTCCACCA